GTGTGTGTAAGTGAGTCTATTTGTAAATCATGTGTGAATGTGGTTGAGTGGAGTCAGTGAAGCCCTAAAACAACCCCCCCATCACAAGTGGTTAACATTACAATCCTTCAGAGCAGTCAAAACTCTGCGCCGCCAAAGTTTCGGGGCTATCCGTTCAGCGTGCGCTCGCCTTATTGACAGAGTCACGGGCATTTGCATTACAAAGAGGAGCTGTTTGAAAATATGCACACAACATGTCATCTGTGATATGGCTTCAAAATGCTTCAAACGGGCCCAAAAAACACGGCTCTCAAACGTCAAGAGGACAATTGAAATGGCAGTGCCGCCATTTCATCCGGTCGGTTGCTGAGGGATATTTAGCTTTCAGGGGGAAGAGGAGAAAGGAGGGAATAAAAAGGGAGCAAAAGGTGTGGGAAAGAAATTGTGGGGAAGAAACCGGGGTTGCGTGTGGATTGCAGATCTGCTCTTTGACTTGGGTCTAACCTCCAGGAGACCTTAAATAGACATGTGGCCGCCATCTGGCCGAGCCCACCGAGCCTTTATATCACCTGATTAATTCTTAAACGCTTCCTCTATTTCTTGTGGATTTGCCTTTTTTCTCTATGAATCTCAGCAGTCTCTTTATTGTTTGGACTTTTTCCTTTCCTTTACAACTGTTGTTCTTATCAGTTTGTGATATATAGGAGATTTTTCAACTTTTTTTTAGCGTTTTCTGTCTCTTACAGTGATAAAAAGGACGCTTTTCCTGGTGCAAAGAGATCTCCTGCTCACTCTTCCGGGGTGGGCATCAGCAAATCAGTTGGTGATTGGTTATGACTGTAAAATAATCAGTTTATTATTCTAAATTTGGATCCTACAAACAAAACGTCGCTCCCTGAGCTTTAACCCCCAAAGCCCTGAACAGAAGACTGAGTAGTGAAACTAAGATGCTTGTGGTCTGCAAAGCCTGAATGTGATGCTGAATAAGTGCATGGAAATTTGTCTATCTGTGATGGAAATGCGAAGGGAGAAGCTGTGCTCTCCTTTGGGGGAGCTCCCCAGTCCCCGTTTTCCTCAGAGACGAGCTGGAGCTGCTGGTCCGAATGCAACATGGAATTTGAAGAAAGAGCTGAAGAAACCTCACGAAAGCATCTCCTGGAAACACATCAAGCTTCAGTTCCTGAGACGTGAACACAAAAAAGGGACTGACGTCATCAGTGGCTTCATTCCCCTTTATGATCAGTGTGTGGTTGTATGGTGAACAATAATTTTTTACTGTCAGGTGCTATTCTATTCAATAGTTCACTGGAAAACAAAATGTGTTTATTCGGTGTGGATACTCGATCATCTAGTGACTTGATGTGTCGGTGCGAATTTTTCTGGATTCTGAGGCCGATGTTGTTTACAAGGGCTCAGGAGCTCTGCATCGTAAGCTTACGAGAGATCAGGAAACCTGCCGTATGAATAAGGGCTCGAATGCAAGCTCACAAAGCAAAAGGTAGAGGCAGAAACAAGGGTGGGCCTCGGAGAACACAAAGTCATAGCAGAAGGCTAGACAAACAGTGTCGCTTCTGCAAAGCAAAGACTCCTGACAAAGAGATGAAAGCTGCAGGGTAAATATCACAGCTGTTGACTAAGGTCCTATCTTATCATTTTAGATATTTCACAATACTTTACTTCTATTTTTGTTGGTTGTGGACATGCCCACTAACACCTGCCAGTATCTGCAGCATCATGCAGATTTTCTTCTCTAGCCATCAAAAACTGATGCAAGAGGAACAGATAAGTTTCACTTCTGCAATTTATGGGGCGTTTTTCAATGTCCAGAGATTATATTTGTATGGGAGCCACCTAAAGGGAGACACCTGATGGACAGGTGAGGAAGAGGAGGAAGAAAATGCAGATGAGAAGAATATATCAAACTAAATGTCGATTAAAAGAGAAAAAAAGATGTCGGATTCATCAGGAATGCTGTCAAACATGGAGAGAAGCGTAAAAATGCAGATGTTTTGTACTTATGGTAGAAGAGAAAAACATCTATCTGAGCTGAATGCTTGAAAAAAAAAGGATGGATGCAAACAACAGCAGGAAATATCAGCCGAAAAGCAAAGGATTGATTCGGACAGCGGCTGAATTGTCTGTCAGAGGCAGTTTGTTTTCACACTCCGCGGCGTCTCAACCCAGAATTCACTTGTTGCAGACGGCCGTAGAGCCACAGCACACCTCCCAGCCAATTAACAGCAGAGTCAACCCAAACAGATTTCCAATTGATAAATCTTTAATGATACGAGGGATTTTACACAAATACACACTTGACGGTGCTAATTTAAAGCAAATAGCGAGCTTGATTAAAAATTCCCAAAGGCGTAGTGGGGGGAAGATAAATGTTTGAATAATTTATCAGATTTAATTGACACGACGGCAATGTTGTAAACAGAAAATGTTTTGATGTTCGTAATGCATTTTGACACCATGAGATTTTGGGAGAGTTCCAAGAAAGACGGAGCTGGTACTTGTGAAATCAGGAGAGATGCTTTGTAAGGGAGGGGTGCGTTCCACTAAGGGAGAAGGGCCTTAGAGGAAGATGAGGCAGCCTCACTGCTCCAGTTAGCTTTAAAAGTCCTAGTGGACATTTTTTTACGGGACAAAAAAAGATTAAATGAATAAAGAAAAGAGACGGGCGGGGGGAGTGATGGGCAGCAAAAGTGATCAGCAAACAATATGATGCAGAAGCCTCGGGCCAGCCTGAGGGGACAGCTCTTTGGGCTGACCGCTAGCATGAGGCGCTAACGTGGATGTAAATACAGGATGCGGGACGCGGGAGGGAGAATTCTCAGGCAGAGCATGCTCACATAAAATGCAAGCGCACAGGAAAACAAACGAATTCCACCAGGGACCCGGCGAGGGTTTCAGGACCAGCAGGTGCGGGGCCACGGCCGGCCCGATAAGAAACTGATCTGCATGAGCCCGTCCCGGTAAACATTCCGCTTATCTGCAAACAAACAGAGTTTACAAGCGCCCATGAATGAATACATCCCATTTCGATGGAACCACCATACTCTCAGAATGCATCTCCTCCATGATACAGCGTATTCCTGAATACATGAATCGACAACAAGGAGGCCCCTCGCTGTTTGTAGGGGTAATGTTGACTGAATTTTTAAAGATGTTATTTTGATTTGACACGACTGGCGGCTCGACGGAGGTCGGAGGGGGGGGGGGGGGGGGGAAGATACGAGACAGGGAAAAATCATCCGAGGCAGAGCGCGTCTGGGGAAGGAGCAGAATAAACAGCAGTGGGAGAAAGAAGCTGGAGAGGCCGGAGACAAAAGACAATCAGGTGGTAAAGGATGAAATCACCATGGCTGCCTGTCATGGGGATGGACGTTTGCGGAGAGAGCGTGTGGGGGGGAAGGAGAAAAAGATACAGAAGTTAGCAGATAAACAGATCCGGCCATGACAGGCTCTCAGCGACAAGACGTGAAAGTACTAAAACATAAAGACAGCCAGATGCAAATACATGGTGCAGCATTAGACGTCAGCTAAATAAAGTCACCCGACAGCCCCCGGCTCGTGTAAGTAATTTGCTTTTTTCTTCCCAACAATGACAATAAGCGTCACCACAATGCCTCCGCATCAAAGGCGGCCTCACCTTCTGCAAGGAGGGAAAGCTCAGACCAACGTAAGCGGAGGGCCCGCCGCTTTATTAACTCCCCAATCAATAAACATGCGTTCGGCGTTCGGCGGGGGTAATCAGGAAACACTCGCAAATGGCCTGACAACGTATCAAAGCCGACGCTGCGAGGCAACGGCGCAAACTCTAACAAGCATTTTATTACCGGTAGCTGTTACTGACATTAGTCAAAAAAACCAAGAGAGATAAAATAGAATAAGGAATGCGGCGCGGTTTGGGCCCTCGGCTGAGAGCCCACATCTCCCCGTTTGATGGCCGCACGCCTCCTCTTTGATATGATAACAAATATAAATTGTTTGAAAACATCAAATAAGGATGGCGGGCCGGGCGGCGTGGAAGTGGCTGGTGCACAGGTATGGAGGCGACCAGCTCCAGGGGGCTTGTCGGAACAGCAGGGAGGGCCATCCTCTGAGTGGAATGAGATTTTTAAGCAATAGATAAACACTGCTGCCATCAGAATGTGTGTCCTCAGGAAAATAAGAAGCGGTTCAGGTCATGAAGAAACATTAGAATGGAAAGAAAAAAAAGAAAATCAAGTTAACATGGATAATTCTGTGGTAGTAAATCTGTAGCAATTGATAGCTGTTCCAATCACAATCAGAATCAGGAGGCACAGATGTTAATTTATGCTTTTTTCTTTTTTTTATTTATTTATTTATTTTTCTTCTTTTTTTTCTTATTTTTCTTATTATTATTTTTCTTTCTTTTTCTTCCTTTCTTTTTTTTTTCTTTTTTTCCTTCCTTTTTTTTCTTTTTTTAATTTTTACTTTTAAACCTGAGTTTGAAACATGGAAAAGCTACAGTGTAAAGAACCAGGCCTTTTTCCCACCCCGTTCTAACAGGAAGTGTCTGTTATGGAGCCGTTCAGGTCCCTGAAGGACCGCGTCCAGGTGAGGAGGCTCAGACTCACCGGCCCAAACCCCCCCCCTCAGCTAATTTGTTTGTTTCGTTCCGGGGCGCCGCCGATATTAAAAGGAGATCCCGAGCAGTGGGGACGGAGGGATGGAGGGATGGAGGGATGGAGGGAGCTGGGGAAGGAGGGAGTGATGGTGGGAGTGGGGGAAACGGGGGGGGGAGTGATGAGTTTACAAGCCCCAGGTATGGTGAATGGGTGAGGGAGAAAATGCAGAAAAGAAGGCAATGAGATAGAGAGAAAAAAAAAAAAAGAAAAAAAAATCTCATCCAAATAATTCTCACCCTGTGGGCACCAAAATGCAAATCACAGATCAAAGAGGTTTTGCAATGGAAACTAGAGAGATTGGGAAAGAATATCATCAAGCCCGGGTTATATATGTATGTTCGGGACGTGAGACAGACACGCAGGACCCAGGTAATGGGGCTGACCTCCACTTGAGCGCTGCCCCCCCCACCGCCACTATCATTTTCAGCCTTCCTCCTCCCGGGGTAAGGAAACCTACGTACAGTGCACTGAGAAGTAATTGACTCTCTCCTTACAGTAGCTTTCCTGGACGGTCAGTGGGCCCGAAGCTCCTCTCAGATGGACGCCAAATTCCCCTCGTCCATGTTGACACTGACATCATGTGAGACTGAGGGGCCTGTTTTTTTTGTTGCCTTGCACAGCCAGAAACATCCCATCCCCCCCCCCCTCCTGGCCGAGTTCAGCCAGGAAGGAAAGTCAAGTGGACACAGGGCGGCGTCCGAAGCCAAAAGCGCTGGAATGTGGGGAAAAAAAACAGCTTTAAATCTCTTTTTTTTTTGCTTCACTTTGAGGCGTATTTTACATTTTTTACATCGGTTGTGAAAATGCAAACGTGCCAAATCTCAGCAGAGAGTCGCAACAATGTTTTAACATCTGCTTCCACACACAGATGTTAGGGAAGGTAGTGTGGGTGTGGGGGCACACACACACAAACACACACACACACACGCACACACACGCCCACAGAGTGGGCGAGCTATAGATAGAACCTCAGGGGAAGGATGTGACTGTACGAGGAGTCTCCACATTAATACCTAATTAATGTCTGTCTCCCCATTAATGTCTAATTAACAATTTATGTCTGTCTCATCCACCTGAAGTCCTGTCATAACTTTTCTTGTCAGCCAAAACGAGATGTGACAATGTTGTCTCGCGGCACGTACATCTGTTGTCCTCCCCTGACCGAAACTGGCAAAAGGCGGCACGCAAAACAGACTCACACAACATATAACACATATACGTCGGACCACGCAGGTTTAGGTTTGTGCAGATTTTTGCAGATTTGTGCAGATTTTGGCAGATTGTTCGCAGATATTTGCAGATTTGTGCAGATTTGTGCAGATTTTGGCAGATTGTTCGCAGATTTTTGCAAATTTGTGCAGATTTGTGCAGATTTGTGCAGATTTTGGCCGATTTTTGCAAATTTGTGCAGATTTTGGCAGATTCTTTCGCATCTTTCGCATATTTTGGCAGATTGTTCGCAGATTTTGCAGATTGTTCCCAGATATGTGCAGATTTGTGCAGATTTTTGCAGATTTTGGCAGATTGTGGCAGATTGTTCGCAGATTTTTGCAGATTTGTGCAGATTTATTCGCAGATTTTGGCAGATTTTTGTAGATTTTTGCAGATTTGTGCAGATCTTTGCAGATTTGTGCAGATTTTTGCAGATTTGTGCAGATTTGTGCAGATTTTTGCAGATTTGTGCAGATTTTGGCAGATTTTTGGCAGATTTTTGGCAGATTTTTGCAGATTTTTGCAGATTGTTTGCAGATTTGTGCAGATTTGTGCATATTTTGGCAGATTTTCCGCTCCACCAGCCTGTTGACAGTGAGTTTTGGGCTCTTGACCTTGCGACTCGCCGCCCGTTACCTCCGTCTCGGCCCGTGGGCCTGCATTAACGCGCTCAGCAGTGCGACGGGGAGCAGGAAAAGTCCAAGTTACGAATCGGAGTTCATTAACGACAGCTTTAAAGGACAAATGAATTCCCTCTCCGGACGTTTTCAGAGATCCTGTCACATCCGGAACGGTGAAGACAAAGCTCTGTCCTCTCAGGGACGCCATCTGCATCAGCACCAGAGCCTCCCGCGGATGTGGATTAGCGGTTCGCAGCACTTTGACTCCCACTGCCTCGGGATTGGAAACACAGCAGCTTTTTTTTTAGCCCTCACGTTTCTCCCTCGGCCGGTATTTGCTTTTGCATTGAAATCCGTAATCCTCCCATCTTTCCCTCTCTCCCGGCCCACCTTTCCTTCCATCTTTTCTTCCCAGATATCCCCTCTGCCCCCTTGTTTTTGCTAGCCGGCCACATTCTTTGCGCCCGGTGTCACCTGCTTTGTAATCTGATTACTTCACAGAGTTAGTATGTATATTTAATATCGCTTTTTTCTCCTCTCGTCTGTGTCTTCTGTTCTTTTAAAATCTTGATGAGAGATGCAGGAAAAGGAGATGGGGCGGGGTTGCTCCTTACTTGCATGTCTAGCGGATATGCCAGGGCCATGCTAATAAATGACAGCTGATTTATGCGTCTGTATTCTTTTATTTATAAAAAAAAAATAGCAAGCGGGCTGATTTCTGATATTAATAATACAAGTGGATCCTTTTTGATTAGGCTTCCGCGGAGAGCTGTGCATATTCAGCATTACAATTAAAGCCTCTGATGTGAAATAGGAATGACACGCTAATGAAGCGAGCTAGCGAGCCTGAACCGCGACTGTCCAACAGCATTACGGCCCATCTCAGATGAAGAGTAATTATACCAGGAACACTGAAATGTCATTAAAAATCTTCAGTAAGTGATTTAACCCACCGTTCCTCGCTAATGCTGGGTATTTCTTTTTCTTTACCACCCCCCCCAACCTACAGATCAGCCCCCCAAGGTTCGCCCTTTTCTTCACCCACATGCCAGGGACTGAACTTCTCCTTCAGAAGTTCCATAAACAAAACAGAAAAAGATAGGATGAGACCCCCTCAAACACAAATATACTGAGAGCTGAGACAAAGACAGTCGGAGGCATTGTTCTAATTTAATTTTAGAAACTCTGTGGTGCCAGCCGTGGTGGGTAATTGAAATCATTCCATTATAAATTCCATTATGAATTGGTGATTAAGGCCAGATGTGATTATCACGGACTAAAGATGATAGTTATTTTTCTCCACCACATAACTTCTCCATCCACCTGCAGCTCAAAGTGCATTATTCATCACAGCTAAACATGAGAAGGAGGAAAAAAAACACAAAGCAGTTTAAAGAGAAAGAACAGATGTTAAAGACAAAGCGTGTTTTTTTGTTGGGGGGTTTGTTGCGGTGTTCCCATTTTCATAAGTGGAAGATTTACGGAAGCCTGGAAGCATTGTTGTCAATTTAAAAGCAAAAAAAACAAACAAATAAAGGACTATATCATGTTCCCATGTCAGGTTCATCAAGGCTATTGTTTAGCCTCTTTGTGC